AAACAAAGGTAAAATTAAACAAAACTCATACAAAAATATTGTGTTTAATACTTTGTTTCTATTGAAAATGACAAACGTTAAAGCAAAATAAAAGCTAGCTTTAGAGTTTGAATTACATATGATGAAAACGATCCCATAACACCTTATAAAAAAANNTNNTNNAAAAAAAAAACAGAGTAAATCANNTTAACTCGTCTTCACTAGTTGTTTGAGAATCATGTGATGCATCATCTGGATCTGAATCTAATTCTTCATCAACAACATCATAAAGGGTGGCAAATTCTTCCTCTTGATCAGCTAAACTATCAACCATTATAAATGGGTCAACTTTAGCTATTGTATTGTCACTCTCACATTGCAAAGGGCTAGGATCCTCAACGCTAGCATTAATGCAGTCAATGAGCTAACGTAATGTAAGTGTGACTCACATTCTTTGAAAATTTAAGTACTTAATTATAACACCATAGATACATCGTTATAAAATCCGGTAAAAACTGAAATTCATACGCAAAGCAAAGTATATATCCAAAAAGAAAAAAAGGTAAAAATTCTCAACCTAAGATAATTGGAAACGAAAGTTAATCCAAAACTAAAAAAAAAAAATATACTCCTTTATTTAGCATGTTGAGTGGCAAAAATTCATGAATATGCAACGAATTCTCCTATTTTGAAATTTCTTTTAATTTCCTACAAGTATCATTAATTTGGTCCTCTATTTAGCATGTTGGTTTGCTAATTATTAATTTAATTTACTAACTATTTTGATTAGATAAAGAATCTTACCGGTTATTTGTGGGTTATAAAGCAGGAAGCTTCGATCTTTGTCTATGTTACTCCTTCCCAACCACTAGCTCTTCTTTGTGTTCGATCCTTTTTTTCTTTTATCAATTGAAAACAGAACAACCACCGAAAATAAGCAAACCATAACAAATTAACAGACGGAGAATGATCAAAAACATAACGCAAGTTTCAATGATCAAAAGAAATCATCACCTGGAATTTTTTTTTCCTTTTCGGAGCACGTCTCCAAACAGGGAACACCTCGAAACAGAGAAACAGTTGTGAGTTGTGATTGATGCAACTTGTAGAGCTTGATTCTTCGTTTTAGGATATAATTTTTGTAAGATCAAGTAGATCTATGTGCTTTGGAAGCTCAGCCGTTTCTT